GTATGTGTCTGAGTGTTTGAGTGTCTGAGTGTCTGGGTGTTCTTAGTGTCTGGGTGTTCTGAGTGTTCTGAGTGTCTGGGTGTTCTGAGTGTTCTGAGTGTCTGTGTGTCTTAGTATCTGAGTGTCTTGGTGTCTTAGTGTTCTGAGTGTCTGGGTGTTCTGAGTGTCTGGGTGTTCTGGGTGTTCTGTGTGTCTGTGTGTCTTAGTGTTCTGAGTGTTCTGAGTGTCTGTGTGTCTTAGTGTTCTGAGTGTCTGTGTGTCTTTTTGTCTGAGTGTCTGTGTGTTCTGAGTGTTTGAGTGTCTGTGTTCTGAGTGTCTGGGTGTCTATGTGTCTGAGTGTCTGTGTGTTCTGGTTGTCTGTGTGTTCTGGTTGTCTGGGTGTCTGAGTGTCTTGAGTGTTCTGGGTGTCTGAGTGTCTGTGTGTATTGAGTGTTCTGTGTGTCTGTATGTCTTGAGTGTATGTGTCTGAGTGTTTTGAGTGTCTGGGTGTTCTGAGTGTCTGAGTGTTCTGAGCGTCTGTGTGTATTGAGTGTTCTGTGTGTCTGAGTGTTCTTAGTGTGTCTGAGTGTCTTGAGTGTATGTGTCTGGGTGTATGTGTCTTTGTGTCCGAGTGTTTGAGTGTTCTTAGTGTGTCTGAGTGTTCTGATTGTCTGAGTGAGTGTCCGAGTGTCTGAGTGTTCTTAGTGTGTCTGAGTGTCTGTGTGTCTGAGTGTTCTAAGTGTGTCTGAGTGTTCTTAGTGTGTCGGAGTGTTCTGAGTGTCTGTGTGTCGGAGTGTCTGGGTGTCTGAGTGTCTGGGTGTTCTGAATGTCTTGGTGTTCTGATTGTCTAGGTGTCTGAGTGTCTTGAGTGTATGTGTCTGAGTGTCTTGAGTGTATGTGTCTGAGTGTCTTGAGTGTATGTGTCTGAGTGTTCTGAGTGTCTGGGTGTCTGAGTGTTCTGAGTGTCTGAGTATTCTGAGTGTCTGAGTGTTCTGAGTGTCTGTGTGTCGGAGTGTCNGTCTGAGTGTTCTGAGTGTCTGAGTGTTCTGAGTGTCTGAGTGTCTGAGTGTCTGTGTTCTGAGTGTCCGAGTGTTCTGAGTGGTCTGAGTGGTCTGACTGTCTGACTGTCTGAGTGTCTGTGTGTTCTGGGTGTCTGTGTGTCTTTTTGTCTGAGTGTCTGTGTGTCTTTTTGTCTGAGTGTCTGTGTGTTTTGAGTGTCTGTGTGTTTTGAGTGTCTGTGTATTTAGTGTTTCTGAGTGTCTGAGTGTCTGAGTGTTCTGAGTGTATGTGTCTGAGTGTTCTGAGTGTCTGGGTGTTCTGAGTGTCTGAGTGTTCTGAGCGTCTGTGTGTATTTAGTGTTCTGTGTGTCTGAGTGTTCTTAGTGTGTCTGAGTGTCTTGAGTGTATGTGTCTGGGTGTATGTGTCTTAGTGTCTGAGTGTCCGGGGGTTTGAGTGTCTGTGTATTGAGTGTTCTAAGTGTGTCTGAGTGTTCTTAGTGAGTCTGAGTGTCTTGAGTGTATGTGTCTGAGTGTTTTGAGTGTCTGGGTGTTCTGAGTGTCTTGAGTGTATGTGTCGGAGGGTTCTGAGTGTCTGAGTGTCTGAGTGTTCTGAGCGTCTGTGTGTATTGAGTGTTCTGTGTGTCCGAGTGTCTTGAGTGTATGTGTCTGAGTGTTCTGAGTGTCTGGGTGTTCTGAATGTCTGGGTGTTCTGAGTGTCTTGAGTGTATGTGTCGGAGTGTTCTGAGTGTCTGAGTGTCTATGTGCCTAAGTGTCTTAGTGTTCTGAGTGTTGTGGGTGTCTGAGTGTCTTTATGTTTTGAGTGTCTTATGCCTGAGTGTCTAAGTATTCTGAGTGTTCTGGGTATCTGAGTGTCTGAGTGTCTGGGTGTCTATGTGTTTGAGTGTCTGAGTGTCTGGGTGTTCTGAGTGTCTGGGTGTCTGAGTGTTCTGAGTGTTCTGGGTGTCTGTGTGTATTGAGTGTTCTGTGTATCTGAGTGTCTTGAGTGTATGTGTCTGGGTGTATGTGTCTTAGTGTCCGAGTGTTTGAGTGTTCTTAGTGTGTCTGAGTGTTCTGATTGTCGGAGTGAGTGTCCGAGTGTCTGAGTGTTCTTAGTGTGTCTGAGTGTCTGTGTGTCTGAGTGTTCTTAGTGTGTCTGAGTGTTCTTAGTGTGTCTGAGTGTTCTGAATGTCTGAGTGAGTGTCTGTGTCTGAGTGTTCTGAGTGTCTGTGTGTATTAAGTGTTCTGTGTGTCTGAGTGTTCTCGGTGTCTGAGTGTTCTTAGTGTGTCTGAGTGTCTGAGTGCTCTGTGTGTCTAAGTGTCTGTGTGTTTTGAGTGTCTGAGTGTCTATGTGCCTGAGTGTCTAAGTGTCTTAGTGTTCTGAGTGTTCTGGGTGTCTGAGTGTCTTTATGTTTTGAGTGTCTTATGCCTGAGTGTCTAAGTATTCTGAGTGTTCTGGGTATCTGAGTGTCTGAGTGTCTATGTATCTGAGTGTCTAAGTATTCTGAGTGTTCTGGGTATCTGAGTGTTCTGGGTGTCTAAGTGTTCTAAGTGTCTGTGTCCGTGTGTCTGAGTGTCTGTGTGTCTTGATGTCTGTGTGTCTGTGTGTCTGAGTGTCTGAGTGTTTTGAGTGTTCTGAGTGTCTGGGTGTTGAGATTCCGGACAGGCAGACCAGATTTGAACCCTAGACCTTAGATTGTTATACAGTACTGTTGCTTAAACCAATTGATCGAGCTACCTTGTCAGGCGAAGTGCTACTGCCCACAGTGCTACAGTTATAGCCCAAATGAAATTAAGGGGAGGTAACTGGACATACAAAAACAAAGTGAACTCGAGTGTTTTGTCTTTAGTGGGACACGCATCCTTAATAATATGCTGAAGAATGTTTCTTAGTTTTTGCTGTTTTTGTTTAAATTTGTTCAGTGAGATTTTTATTATTTCTTTACAGGTGATAGACCCAATCGTTCCGCGATACACTGCCCTCCTCCAGAGTGATGTGATTCCTGTCAATGTCAAGGGAGCTAGTGTTGGCTATAAAAAAATTGCAGCACATCCAAAGGTATCTACATTGGCTGACTGTGTAACCCATATCCTCTAAACCTATTGTCTGCCTCTAAATGTCTTTCTGACACATCATTTATTAGCTCACCTGGTGCAAAAGACCAAGGTGAGCTTATGCCATACCATCGCGTCCGTCGTCCGTACGTCAACAATTTCTCTTATTTACTTCTTCTTCTTAACCACTGGTTGGAATTCAACTAAATTTGATCAAAAGCATTCAAGGGAGGCAGGGATTCAAAATTGTACAAATGGTGGGGCTGACCCCACAGGGGGCTGAGGGGCTAGGCCAAAAAAGGAATATTTGGCTATATTGCTTTAAGCGACTTCTTCTCTGGAACTAAGTGATGGATATCAACCATATTTGACTGGAAGCATCCCTAGGTGAAAGTGATTCAAAATTGTACAAACGGTGGGTCTGACCCCCCAGGGGGCTGAGGGGTGGGGCCAAAAGTGGGCACTTTGGCTAAATTGATATAAACAAATTCTTCTGTAGAACTATGCCATGGATATCGATCTTATTTGGTGGGAAGCATTCATGGGAGGCAGGGATTCAAAATTGTACAAATGTTTGGGCTGCACCCCCCCCCCCCCCCCCCCCCCCCCCGGGGGGGNAGTCCCTGGGTCATAACTTTGAAACAGTTGAGATCCCTACCCCAAAACTATATATACAAATGCTTGGTATAAAGAGACGAATGTAGTCATGATATTAGAATGGACCCTGGGGTCTGACCGAACCCCTAGGGACCTAGTTTCTTAGTCACAGCTTGGAAACAGGTGAAATCCCCACCCTAACCATATATACAATTACTGAGTATAAAGAAGGATCTGACCGATCCCTTAGGGACCTAGTTTCATAGTCACAGCTTGGAAACAGTTGAGATCCCCACCCCAAAACTACAAATATTAATGCTTGGCAAAAAGAGACATGCGATCATGATATTAGAATTGATCCTGAGGTCTGGCCATAACCCTAGGGACCTAGTTTCTGAGTCACAGCTTGGAAACAGTTGAGATCCCCACTCCATAACCATACATTAAATTGCTGGGCATGAAAAATCTGATACAGAAATGCTACAAGGATTGGCCTTGGGGTCTGGCATGTTCCCTTGGATCTCATTTGGAGAATATTTTGTCATGATTGCTTAGATATCCAGGTGAGCGATACAGGCCCTCTGGGCCTCTTGTTTGAATTAGAAGTTTGGTGAATGTGTATGTAAATTTTATATATTTTTTAATTGTTTTTTTTTATTGCGGATTGGGAAAACTTGTCATTCTTATATAACTGACAATGTTTTTATAGTTATACTATGGCTATAACTTACGTTGTTTTATTTTGCCTAAACTGTTCAATTTTGGGATTCAAGGTGGCCACAATGGCCTCTGACTGTCGGTTGAGGGAGGGTGGTATTAGTATGCCTGTTGTGTACTGTTTACTGTTCTAGCTTGCTCATACTTTGTGGGTATCATACTAAAGTATTACACTTTACAGTATACAAACAACATGAAGTTTGGGAATTTAACATTGCCACCATCACTTCTGATTTGCTGATATATTTACTCTTGTAATTTGAATTCTTATTGGGCAGGTTTGAATGCCATCTTTTGAAATGCATCATTTGCATTGGTAAATTGGGGGGGGGGTTGTAGAATTTCCTGTAAGTGTAACAGTTAAAACTTGTTTTGTGTGTTATTTCATACATTTTGTGTATCAATATTTCTTTTATGTTTATTTGATAGGAATCATTTTAATCCATGGACATAAATCATGCAAATACCACTGACACATATTTGATCTTAACTAATATATCGTGGGGGCGAATAGATGATTTCAAAAATGATCTTGCAATGTACAAACTATTTCCAGAACACAGACCTGGGAACCAAGGATATCTGGTACGGTCCCCTGCTGTATATAGAGGGCGCTGATGCTGAGATGTTGTCTCAGGGGGAGACCGTGACCTTCATTAACTGGGGAAACCTCCAGATTGCTCAAATCAATCGGTAACACCTTCATTAGCTTTGGATAAGAGTTATACAATACTTTATTTTACAGATCTTTTTATGTCTTGGACATTTAGAAATTAATAGTTGAATTTGTTCAATCTTAGAGTAGAAATGTTTAGCTACATGTGAAGTTACAATTGATGAAGGATTTTCATCCTATCTATTTCTGATTAATTTAGACCGCAATCATTTATCTCGATCCAAATGGTTGAACTGGTTGGACCAGAGTTGTTTGTTTATGAGATAAGGTCGGACCTAGTAACCTGATGCTGCTTTGCATAAACATCTGCAGGTCCACCAGGATTTATACCCGAAAATGTTACATCTAAAAACAGACAAACCTGTTGAATCGAATACATGAAAGTGTCCTTTGACTTTTCTACTTATTTCAATCTGATATGTTTGGTTTTGCAGAACTAATGGGAAGATAACATCGCTGGACGCTAACCTTGACCTTGAGAACACAGTAGGTTTTTAGGTCACCTGAGCTTTAGCTCAAGTGACCTATTGCTATCCGTTTTCGTCCGTCGTCGTCCGTCGTCCNGTAAGCATGTGTCATAATGATGTCGCCCGACAGGTATTAGGGTAACAGGTCCAAATTGGAACATTTAAGTCGAATGGCATAAACTTTCCTTTGAATAACGCCATCAATTAGGGGATAACCCTACTGTGTTTTTTTCACAGGACCAGTAAAACGGATATTTCCTACAGTATAATCACAATATCTTGAAATGCAGTAGGGTTTACCCATTGTACACAATGATCAATGACATCAGTAACATTCAAAGTGAGGCAGAAATAACGTCGACTTTTCAGGGTCACACTATTGTTCGAGACATTATATTTCATCAGGGTCATCGATGTCGCCATCGAGAATCATGCAAATGAAAACATTATAGACAGTTTATTGTGGTTATACCATTGCAAACTATTTTGATTGACCAATCAAATGCCGTGTTATTTCACAAATGAGTTAAAATAATATCTTCTGTGCATGTCATCATATGACCTGTGCCCGTATTCATGAAACCGTTCTCATGCCCTAGCATGGATTTTGTGCTCAAGCCTAATTTCTTGTTTCGGTTATAAATTGATAATAAAATCTCTTTTATTTTGTCATTGATTTTGAAAAAATTGAAGAGACTTACAAAGCAAGATACTGTTTCAATGTTTACATTTGGCTTTTTCATCGTTTGACATGATTTAAGTGAGTTACAAGAAAGTTAGTTTGAGCACATAATACATACTTGAGCATGAGTCCGGTTTCATGGATGTGGGCCCTGATATATATCATTGCAGACAGTGTAAATTTGTGTCCCCCTGTTACCAGATATTATGATTATGTAATTCCAACCTTGGTTGTCTTTTCTTTGTAGGATTACAAGAAGACTCAGAAGATAACATGGCTGGCCAGCACGGACAAGGCCCCGTTCACTCCTGCTATCTGTGTCCACTACGATCACATTATCTCGAAGGCTATCCTTGGCAAGGACGAAGACTTTAAGGCCTATGCTAACACAGACTCTAAGGTACGGCACACGGAAGGGCCTACGCTGTTAAATGATGGACTCACAGACTTTCAGAACAGAGCATTCGCAAACTTGCAGAAAGGGTTCAAGATTTTAAGAAAAGAATATTCAGAGTTACACAGATCTGCATAACTAATACAACAAGTTTTTTATTGGGATAAAAGTGTAATAGTTCCAATTTTATCCTTGACAGAAAGAGCAGGTAATGTACGGAGATCCGTGCCTCGCCAGTCTGAAGAAAGGGGACACAATTCAACTACAGCGACGGGGTTACTTCATCTGTGACCAGCCATACCAGCCAACCAGGTCAGCTTTCTCTCTTTTATCTATAGTCACTGTTACTAGTTGTTAATAAACATTTAGGGCGCTTGGCCTACACTTCTAGTTATATTTACCTTATTACACCAAATATAAATGTTGATATTTCGGCTGTTATGAGCTACATTTGATTTATACCTAATGCTCTATATATTTTTCAAAACCTTGAAGTGCTTCGACCAGATCCAAAATACAGACATACAGTGTAATACTAATAATTTTCCCTTTACAGCCCCTATACTGGAAAGTGTAGCCCGTGTGTACTACTGAACATCCCAGATGGCCACCAGAAGGAGATGCCAACAGCTGGCTCCAAGCACAAACAGGAGGCCAGTGCCAAGGAGGTTAGCAGGGGTTTCCTGTCCCTGGAAAACTTATAGACAATAAAGGGATTATCAGTGATTTATCTACATCCCAGTCCTTTACTCATAGAATTTTGATGAGACTCGTAGCATTCTGGAATTACTGAAATTTAACAGTGTGTGACCCATGGAAGTATGTTGTACTGATTGATGACTGGTCAATATTTATATTTGTTGTTTTTTTGGTCACCACTGACTAGTCACCCTTCATGTATTAAAAATAGCTTGTAATGAAAGGAGGATTTCAAAATATCAGGTAGTGTTACACATGTCCTGGCCCACTGCTTTCTGTCCCAATTCACTGTCATCTCATAATGGTATAAGTTTTATCAAAAGGGATTTTCTAGTAATGGTGACTTCAAAATGTAAAGGTATCAGGAAGTTGTCTGATAAAACAGTGTTCCAGGAAGGCCTGCATTAAAATTCACCGTACCTTAAAAGAGTTCTTAATTGAACATTTTTCATGTCATTTCATGGCAGGATAAGGGGAAAATATTTCTTTCATGTGAGTTTGTTTACATACGGACCACAGGTTTGACTCCTAATTTTGGAACCCAGGGCAGAAATTTAAACTTTTAATTTGTATGAAATGAAGGACATGCTGTAAGAATGAAGAAATATTTTTCTGCTGTAATTACAGAAAGCACAGAGCAAGAAAGGAAAGTCTGCTGAAAAATCTCCGCAGGATGAGAAAGCTCCGTCTGTCCCAGGAGGCAGCTCAGCAGCTGACCTTGACACTAAGATTTGTGCCCAAGGTGAACAGGTCAGAAAGCTGAAGACAGAGAAGGCTCCAAAGGTAACTACAGAGCAATATTATAATATCTTTAAATTCATTTACGTTTTCATTGTAAAGCCATTGAATCAACCAAATAAAAAATAGTATATGAAAGCAGCTTTCACCCATAACAAAGCTCTTTAGCTTTATGTCGAGAGGTCATGACGTCACAATTACATCATCACACTATAATAGTAACGTGACGTCACAATGTCCACAAGATTGGTCGACAAACTAGCGCAAAATTTACTGTGGCGTACTGTGGTTTTAATATTTCAATAAAATGATCTTACTCTTTTCTCTTAGAACAGTGTCTGTTGATTATAATTAATAAACATGATATATATTCGGTAATACATTGAATTTATCATTGGCACACATATTTATATTCCTTTTGACCCGTAAAGTTTGCAATGAGTCAGTTTTAGTTTGTTTTCTATGTTCACTCATGCATGTTCTCAGTTCTTTAATAGTTTCATCAATGTAAAATTCATCACATTTACAACAAATAAGATTTAGTCTCACCTAGCATACATTTCTAAACAACCTAGTCTCAGCTAGCTTACACGTTTATTTTCACACCTTAAAAAAAACAATATTTATACAATGTAGACTTTTTCAGAGTGGTGTATATGTGGCAGTAATATATTATGATTAAGAAATAACATCTACTTTAATCAAATAAATATTCAGTTATCTTGTAAAGAAATATAATAGCATGGTAATACATTGTAGAGGTATCTAAAAAGTAACAGGACTACATTTATCTTAGATTTCCTTCTTTGTTTTTGAATGGTAAATTAAAGAGTTTCATTTGTCCTGAAACCCTGGTTAAAAACAGCCGAGCCTGGATATGTATCAAAAACAACTGTTTACTGCTTGTTGTAGGACCGGATAGAGGCCGCAGTAAAGATCCTGTTGGCACTAAAGGCCGAGTATAAGTCTGCCACTGGCAAGGATTGGAAACCAGATGCCAAGCCAGCCCCAGTGACTGCTGCTCCGGCGACTACAGGAGACGGTGACCTATACGACAAGGTCGCAGCACAGGGCTACAGAGTCAGAGATCTTAAATCCCAGAAGGCAAAGAAGGTATGGGGTTGTCCGTCCGTCCGGCGTAAACTTTTGTTTGTCCAGCAATCTCCTCCTACATTTTTCGACCCATTTCTTTGAAACTTAGTAGGCTAAATAATAATGATATGTTGTTTCCTTGAAAAGAATTTTGATTCAACAATTTTTGCAAAGGTTATTGCCCTTTGTTTATTTCAGTATTTGATTTTTGTCCGGCAATCTCCTTCTACATTTTTCAATGGATCTCTTTGAAACTTGGTATACATTATAATCATGATATGAAGTTGTGTCTCCCTTAAAAGAATTTTGATTCAACAATATTTGCAAAAGTTCTTCCCCTTTGTTCATTTCAGTATTTGATTTTTTGTCCGAGATTTTCTCCTACATTTTTTATAGCATGTCAGCTAACCACTTTTAGAATGATCCAGATCTTATTTCAATGTGAGAAAGTATATAACACTATATGGCATTCGACGGGCATATATTGTTCTGCCCCGTGGTACTCTTGTTTGAATTTTGGTGGAATTGGAGGCAAACAAAGACCATTCGACCTACCTTGGTCAATAGTTCTTTTATTGAATCACAAAACTATCTTGTAGTTAAAGTATACAGTAGTCATTTGCTGTTTGTTGTAGGATCAGATTGATGCTGAGGTGAAGATCCTGTTGGCGTTGAAGGCCGAATATAAGTCTGCCTCTGGCAATGATTGGAAACCAGATGCCAAGCCAGCCCCAGTGACTGCTGCTCCAGCGACTACAGGAGACGGTGACCTATACGACAAGGTCGCAGCGCAGGGCTGCAGAGTCAGAGATCTTAAATCCCAGAAGGCAAAGAAGGTATCAGATGTTTCATTTATAGCTTGAAAAATTTAACTATAATGCAATTAGAATAACAATTTTCATAATGGTATCGTTATATAGTTTTCTAAATTTCAAAAACACTTAGGCCAAATAAAATTAATTAATTTGTTCTCAGGCCAACTTTTTTCAAAAGAGATGCGGTAGGGTGGTATTTTTTTTTATCATTTTACATGGCAAAAACCAGATGAGGGCGATTTTTTTTTTATTGTGTAGTTTTTAAAACGTTCATTGTGGGCATTACCTTGTCTTTTTAGGTCACCTGAGACAAAGTCTCAAGTGACCTATTGCGATCGCCTTTTGTCCGTCGTCGTCCGTCGTGCGTCCGTAAACAATTTACATTTTCGACTTCTTCTCCAAAACCCCTGAACCAATTTCAATGAAATTTTGCAGGGACCTTCCATGGACAAAGGTCAACAAAAA